CATGAAAAATAGATAATATTTACCCAAATGCCACAACAGTTCTCTCATTATTGGCAATCCTCCTACAGATTTTATCCATTGCCTTTTGTTTACCAATATATTTTGACCATCTTAACCTTCTCCAATGTTTTTCTTTATAAAAGTCAAATAAATCATCCATATAAAAAAAGTGCTGCTGCACTTGGAAACCATGAACTGAACTGAAGAAACAGAAGGTGTTGGTAAACTTGAAATCTATAATATTGAATTGAATAATAATATTTAATTAATTAATTTTTCAAAAAAAAAAATCAAAATGTTTACCTTTAACAATGGCTTGTATGCATTTATTTTTATTCATCCAAACTTCACTTTTTTTTCTTGTCTTCCTAAAAACCCAGCCATCTCATAATATTCTTTTGTGCTGCATTTAATTACTTTTTCATTTTGGTCTACAACAACAAATAAATACCTTCTTCCATGATCAATATCAACTACTCTACACCCCTCCAAATCTAATTTTTCATATTCATCATCATTCCTTTCACCAATTTTTTTGGTGAACAGAAACACATATACCATCAGTTTGTAGATCTTATGTAAATGTTTTATTTCTAGTAGAAAATTTTTTTATATTAAAGCTTCAATTCCACCCACCAATGATCAAAATTTTCTTTGAAAACTTCCCTAGTTACTAGATCACTATGTTTAGTAGAAGCCTTAATTTGTATAATGCTTCAGTGTCAATGTTTGTGTTTCTTTGTATAGTGGAAGAATTGTGAAAGAGCAAAGAGGATTTTTTGAAATATTTTTAATAAAGAGTGCAGGAGAGGGAGATACTTCCATCAATTTTTTTTTACTTTGTTTTCTAATGACAAGGATTCTAAAAGATTTCTTGCCTTTTGCGATATATAAATAAATTTATTAGAGGAAATATCAAAAAAGCAAAGGATCTCTGATATTAAAAAAATGATGGAAGTCAAAGTCTTGAACCACTGTAAAGGATTTTATAGAGGTGGTTCACTCTTTACTTTGAAAATGGTATCCAAGCCAATTTATGTTGAATCCATTTATTGATTCTTCTTTTAAGATTTGTCATGACATAATTTTTGCAATTTATCAGGTACTGATTAGCTGCTGATGATGTCTGTTACAATTATGTATTTTTTTAACTTAACATGATAAGCTGAGCAAGATAGCTCTAATTTAATGACAGAATGTATGGATAACAAAGATATTTCAGGAACACTAATGGATAACTAACTAACCTTGAATGGAGGTTTGGAATTTGTACAATATAATGCAATTTTGGACTTATTCTAGTAGAGAAAGCATTATTGGTGAATTAAAAATACCAACAATTGATGACTATTTGGAAAGATTTAAATTACCGTTTAAACCAACTAAGTTTCTAAGATTTCAAAAAGAAGAAATGCACTGCATATTAATATGGATACACTTTGTGCAATACTTGTATATGAGATGCAAAAACAATTATGGAATGTGTTGCCAGAGATTAATTGTCATTGTATGAGATATTTGATATGTGGTGGTGCATGTTTACACATTAGAGCTGCCATTGAAATCCTACAATTAATTTTTTTGTTATTTCAAGTCTTTTATAATAATTGAGTGATTTAATAAATTTTAAAATATAAATGGCAATGATAAAATTTTGATTTATTGTGTGTGATATTTATTAATTATAAATAATAATATTACAAATTATATTATTATAAAAATAAATAATTTGAAAATGCAAATTTAAAAAAAAACTTGATCATCTCTTTTTGGTCATTACTTCTAATAATCTCCTGCCCGCATTTTTTCCTTTTTGTGTATTGATAAATAAATTTATCAAAATTTAATATGTTTTTTGGGTTTTTTTGTAATTCTCACTAAACTTTAATAAACAACAATCCACATAAAGTTATACCCATATGAAAGCTTACAATATTTTTCATCCTTTCAACCATTCACCAAGTTTATAAAGGTAATATTGGTAAAAAATCTTAGTTTTGAAGCAAAAAGTAATGCTGTTTTCAAATAAATATAGCTTGGCATAGAGAGCCTCTATCAATCCTGGGAGAGGGTTCATTAGAAAGCTATAATTTCATATTTTATTTTTGATTAATAATGATGTTTGAATTTGTTATAAAAATAATGAGATATTTTAATAAACTGATTGGTTACATGGGCCAGATAAATTGATATGCTTCATTGTATTTATATTATTATTTATGTTATCAATCAATCTATGTATTTCCTATATATAAAAAGGACATCTATTCAAATTAATAAAGTGAACTTTATGACTTTTGTAATTTTACAACAATTAAATTACTTGTTTATTAAATTTTGAACGTTTGCACTTAGTAAATTTTATGCAATTTATTTATTAAGTAAATGTATTAATCTATATATATTGTCATAATTGAATAATAAATATTTTCGTGTGATTGTGAATAAAAAAAAATTCAATGACAATCATTCAAATAAATTTTATCCTTTGAAATCTTGTGCTCCTATTGCCTTTTCTTTCATCTCATTAAAAAAAGAAATCTCATTTTTATAGAAAATTATTTGATTTTTTAATATTAATTAATGTTGAGTTGTGAGTCAATGATTCCAATTATATTACTTAATATTATATTTGTATTGGTAAAATCCCAATGAAATTTTTCTGACAGTTTGACAATAGGATTTCCTTCACTGCCACCAAAACATAGAAAATACCAATCATATCCTGTTGATTAAAGACTAGTGCTGTAAATTATGGTGATGGTAGTAATTGTATTTATGGCATATAAAAAGTGGTTGCAATTACCTTTGCAACCACTTTTGAAACCATACTTTTTCCTTTTTTGGATTACAGCACTAGTCTTTACTGTTGATACAATATCATGTATATACTTTGATATCTGGTTTTATTTGGTGAGTAATGCATTTTTCATTTCTCTAAAGACAAGATAAAAAAAATTTTTTAATATGTGTGTTAAAGAGATAGTGTAAATGTTAAAAAATTTACACATACCCACACCGCACTGTGAATCTGTGCAAGGTTTTGTGATATTCCTTGTTGGATGTCTTGCTTTTTTACTTATATTACAATAACATAAATATAACCCTCTTTATTAGTGGGTTTTGAGAAAGCAGAAACCTTAATAGAAATGAAATCTTGCCATTAAAAAAGCACAAATTAGAAAAAACAGCCTAGTAACTCAGTAACTAAAAACATTCAATAAATGTTACTTACTATCAACTAGGATGCCAAATGTCTCAAGATTTTGTTATAGTTGTTTCTCACCATTAATTCCATTGTTGTATTAAGATACAGGCAAAAGGCAAGAGATTTTTTGTATTGAAATATTGGTTGTAAAGGTTATTTATATGAATGTCTTTGAGAAATCAACTGTAGTTTCTATTCATTGATGCTGTTTATGTTAATTGTAAGGATTCTATCATGGTACCAGCCTATTGGTCACTTATCTCCAGGAAGCCTTCATCAGGAAATTTTTATGACAGATTTTTCTGATTATTACAATATTTATATAAGTTTATGGTGGATCCCAACTCTATATGGATTGTGGATAACAAATAAACCTTTGCAAATCATAACATTTCATCATCATCTGATTGGTTTGTTGACAAAAAAAATTAAAAAAAAAAGATTTTAACCCCAAAAATTTATAATCAGAATTTTGAAAACACACCCTAAAAAATTTATTATATACACAGTGAAATTCGATTTAGCGGATTTTGATTTAGCGGATTTAGGGGTTTAACGGATAAAATTTCGGAACAGAATTTTTTTATAGTTATTTTATCTTGATTTAACGGATTTAGCGGATTTTTATATATATTCGGTATACCGGATATTTTTTTAAGGAAAATATTATATACAGAAAGGTTCTTTTTATGGAATATACAGAACCTACCAAAAATGGCAATTCATTCTGCAAAAAAGGAAACTAAATTGTAGCTCAAAATTTTTTGTAAAACCTACGTGACATTTATCGATGATGTGATGATTAAATTTGTGGGCTGGGAGTGGCAGGGATTACAGAGTTTTTAGCAACTCTAAGACTTAATTCTTATTTGTCACATAGGTTCTGTATATTTCATAAAAAGAACCTTTCTGTATATAATTTTACCCTATATAAAATTGTAGTCAATCACATGATTTCAACTGTGAACTCGTTTTCTCAAAAAATTAACTCTTCTATGAACCAATAACCTATTTCGTTCAACTTATCAATATTGAAATAGATATTTGAGAATAATGTGATGTGTTTGTCGGGTAGATGTATCCCTTTTATTCTAATAATGTAATTGCAAAAAAAAAAAGGTAAAATTCAACCCTATTGTGCATTTTAAAAGCTGATTACTCAAAAACTAAACATTAGATTCGGCTATATATAAAAAATGATTTAAAATAGCTTTAAAAGGCAAAGCTTTGTTTAATTTTTATCTGAAACGATTTGGGTTGTTTTTTAGTAAAGTTACAAAGATTTTCTGATAACAATAATTTTTTTGTCCCATACTGTATATTAAACATGAAAGGTAATCATCGGAAATCCAAATTCAACCTTATAAAAGTATTGACTAGTGAGAACTCGGAAAAGAATGAAATACCATTATCTTCAATGCAAATAGATGCTGTGTTCAACAATAAATGTATCACTTTATATTATCGATATAAACATAATGAATGATAAGAGGAGATTTGTAGTAAGTTTTTATATTAAATTTAAATGTGGGATTCTAAAAGAATTTAGAAAAATTATAATTAATGGCAAAGTGACTTTTATTGTGGTTTTTTCATTACAAATAACGATCTAATTAATACTATTGACCAAGGCTTATCCACTTTTGTATATAAAATTGATAATAACGCAAAGAATAAATTGATTGGTTCATAAATCAACTTTTGAAGACCGTGGAAATATAATTTAATTTACTTTATTATCCATGCTATAAAGAATTGCTGCTATATATACATTATTAATTAATAAGGTTAAAAAAATCACGGTATTATAATGACGGTTAAAAAATAGGAACTTTCTTTCAAAAAAAAAATTCGGGCATACTTGATGGTTCTATGGCACGAGTTGAAATATTCATAGTAGCAAGATGTTTTTTTTGTTTGTCTGTATCTTGAGAAATTGAATCGGCCATTTCTATTTGAGGCAAAGTAGATGTTGAAGCCTCTGAAACTTTTTGGGAAAGACGAAGAGCACTCGCATTAGTAAAAATAGGCCGAGGTAAAAGAAAAGAATGAAAGAGCAGTAGATTTTTTATTGTATAAAAAATAAACAATAAAACAAACTT